GGTCGGTCGGTGGGTTGGTCGGTCGGTAGGTAGGTAGGTAGGTAGGTAGGTAGGTAGGTAGGTAGGTAAGTAGGTAGGTCGTGTTTGGAAGTCTTTCAGGGCCTTGTCTTCGGATCTTCAGAAGCAGAGCCCATGCGGAGGCAGCACCGGAAGGACCAAAGCCCTGGCTTCAGTGCGATGGCGCGAAAAGTGGCAGTGGGCGTCCCAGAACTTGAACCTCACCCGAGGCGAGACTACCAACTTGAGGCTCCACAAGGTCTGGACCAAGGACCCCAAGCAGTTCCTCAAGGGTGGCAAACGTCAACGACCTCCTCCTGTGAAGGTGAAAGGCAAGCTCCCCACACAGTCACGGGCACCTAAGAAGCTGACCAAGGACGCGGGGAAAAAGAGCGGCACTCAGTACGAATGGCCTTGCACTGTTTGTAGCGCTGTTTTCACTGCACCCACCACTGTGCGGCTTTCCAAGCTCCGTGATAATCATTTGTCACGGGTACACAACAGTTTGCCCAGGGCACTCTTCACGACCCTTTCGGGCCAAATGGGGTCCAGCCGACCCTCTCGAGGCAAAGGCTGCAAACGCGACAAACAAGGGCGACTGCTTTGGAGGTGCGATGCTTGTTCGCGCCTCTTCCGCGACCTCTCCTTGACCTCGCTCGGGGGGAAAAGGAATCACCATATCAAGTCCGAGCACCCGGGCATGTGTGGCAGCCAGTTTTCCACAGTCGGGGGAAACCAAGGAAGGAAGAACTACTTCGGGCAAGGGGAACTTCGCCAGCTCCTTGAGGACCCCAGGAAAGTGAAAGCTTGCCAGGATGGAAGGAGAGCCGCCACCCTTGAGGACGGGGACGTCGAGGCCAATCCTGGACCGACGTCTTCGTTGGGTCGCTTGGCCGTGCCTTTCACCATCTACAGCATCAACGTCAATGGCTACAGCAATGCTTTTGCGGCTTTGGATTTGCCCTCGGACCACAGGCCCCACATCATCGCTTTGCAAGAAGTTCGCACCAACAGCGACTCCGAGAAAAAGTTGATCCAACATTGTGGGCGCCTTGGCTACCGTGCGTGGGCGGCTCATCGTCCTGACCGGCCCGCTTGCGCTGCCCAGGGAGGCCTTTTACTTGCCGCTCGCCGGGATGTGAGAGCTCACTATGCCGATAAAGTCGTGCACGACGAGTTTGAGGCCATCACGATCGACCTGGAGGGCTTCTACTTGACCAACACTTGGGAGCGTCCCCATTGCGCCAAGAAGGGATCCATGGCCAGTTGGATTGGGCCCATCCTGGCCGACTGCCACATCCATCGTCGTATGTGGCTGGGGGTGGGCGACCACAACGAGGTGCCCGGGGAGCACCACCTTGTCGGGGAGGACGGGGGCTTCGCTTACTTCGCCGCCTTGGACCGCCAGGGGAACCCTGAACCCACCCGGTGGGAAGGGCAGAGGTGCATCGACTGGATGATGATCTCCGAGCACGGTGTCTCCGGCATTGCTTCCCTCGAGGACAACTACATCAGCGATCACCGCGGGGTGTGGTACAACGTGGTCGTTCCCTTTGGAAAGAGCACCACCCGGGAGTACATGCCCACTGTGTCTTTCAGGAGGCCGGACTCGGTTTGCTGCAAGAGATGGAAGGAGGCAGTCCACGAAGCCATGAAAGGCTTTGTCGACAATAACTTAGGAGACGTTGAAGCCGAATGGGCGTACCTCAACCAAGTGGACTGCGATCCTCCCAACGGACAGCGTTCAAGGGAGAAGGGCACCCCCATCCGGTGGTTCGGTGCTGGTCAGTCCGTGAAGCACTGGAACAAGCAGGGCAGCTTCAGGCAACGGCGCTTGGCCAAGTGGCTTGGGCGAGTCCGGGAAGCTCTTCGCCAACGACACCTCAACCACGTTGACAACAACCTGCAAAACATCGTGTTGAGGACCTGGCCTGCGGACATCCCCAAGACTACCGGCGACCACGGCTTCCTCTCCCTGGACTTGGCGGTGGCGAACGGCACCAAAGCCCTCGAAGACGAAAGGCGCAAGCAGAGAGAATACACTTTCTCACGCTGGAGACAGGACATGGAGCTCGAGGGCCACTTCGCGACGAGGTGGCTCAACAACCGCTCCTTTTTGTCGCGGCACAGGGCATCGCGCAGGCGGACGCTGAGGGAGTTATTCACAGGACCTTCGACGTGGCCGAATCCTTTGACAAGCTCCTCTCGCGATGTCCCGCCAAGACGAAGTCCCGGAGCTACAGGAGGCCGCCGGCGGACCTCTTCGCCGACCTGGTCGAGCTCAACCCGCGAGCTGGCAACTCAGGGCGTCTGACCTCTACACCTCTGCTCAAAAGCGGAAAGGTGGCTCCGGCAGCTTTGACGGTTGGGCAGGTGACGAAATCGCGCTGTTACCTCTAACCTTTTGGGAAGCTTTTCTCCCGATGGCTCAGAGGTGGATGGAAGGCGGCCGCTTCCCCTCGGCGATGAGTGAGTACCGACAGGTCTTCATCCCCAAGGCCGACCTCAACGAGGGAGACGCTGAGCCGGGAGATCTTCGCCCAATCTCCATTGGTTGCGTCTTCAACAGGGTTATCAGTGGAGCGATGCTTCTTAATCCCATGGTCCAAACTTGGATTTCGTCCATTGTCCCGGCCCAGATGCACGGTGCTTTGAAAGGGAGGAGCTTAGAAGCAGGGATCCTCGATCTTCTTGAGATGCGGGAGAACCCCCGGGCCGTCCTGCTCTCACTCAACATGAAGAAAGGATTTGACTTCGCGGACGTTCGGCACGCTCTCGCCGTCCTCAAGCATTATGGGTTTTGTGAAACATGGCTCAAATACCTTGAGGCTGTGTGGAGCTCGCAGGCTCGATACTCCCAGGTCGGGCCTTTTGTCACTGAAGAGCCGACGCTGGTTCAGAAAAGCTTGCCCCAGGGGGATCCCCTGGCGCCCCTTGCTTTTTGCCTCCTGCTCGTGCCCGCGGCTGTGGACACCGCACAAGGACCACAGGTGGCCCAGAGCCTCTTCGTGGACGACAGAAATGTCGTTGTGGTTGGAGCAGGCCTGGGATGAATGGTGCCAGTTTCTTGGTCTCAGGGAGAACGACAAGAAAGCCTCGTTTGTCGCCAAGCACCGGCGAGACCAGTCCAGCCTGCAGGCTCGACTGGGCAACGACTTCGTCAAGGAGCAGGCCAGGGTGTTGGGGGTTGACTTCTGTCGAGTTCGTCGTCGCAGACACAAAACTCTGGAGTCTCGGAGAGCCAGGGCCACGGTTGTTGTGAAACGACTGTCGCGTACGCCTCTCTCCTTGCCCGTGAAAGAGCGCCTTTACGTCAGCAGGGCCGTGGCAATGCATTGCTGGCTGGGGGCTGTGGCTCCAGCACTTCAGGGCCGGCAAAGAGTTTGGTGCCAAGGTCAAAGCCTTGCTGCAGGGCCACCGTTCTGCCTCGAGAGACCTCTGGGAGCTTCTGCAAGGGCATACCATGGATGTCTGGTATGTCGGACTGCAAAGGAGCACTGCCGCACTGGCTCGCGGCATTCGCTACTGGCACCTGCACGGGCGTCAAGTGGGCGGCGGTGCTTGGGCCGCGGCTCTTGGAGAAGGCTTGGGACAGTTCGGTTCCCGTGGAGGCCAGGGCTAGGCCAGTTTCGACCGTGGCTCAACGCCACCCTTCACTTGCTGCGGGAGGCATGGAGGTGCCGACGTTGGGAAGCTTTTGGCGATGCTGCTCGCCGTGATGCTGGAGTGGCACGCCACTTGCCCTACGACACCCTCTTGGTGGCTCGTGCCAGGAAGGCTTTCAGGTGCTACGGGAGCGATGGTCGTGCTGTCCTTTCTGGCGGCGCACATTCGGTGATGGCATATCATGCTATCCAGGGGGCGCCCAGCGACGAGCTCAGGACTTGTCCATGCTGCGCCTGCGCGGTCCCGCCGACATGGGAGCATCTCGCTTGGCACTGTGATGCATTCAGGGAGGACCGTCCTCCCCGACCTAGGGACGAGCTTGCAGCCCGGTTGGGTTGGCCGACTTCTGGAAACCAGCAAACAGACGATGCCGTGCTCAGGCATCTCTGCAAGGCCCTCGGCTCCTCCTTTGCCTAGGCTTTTGCGGCTGTCAGGCACCTTGTCCCTGAGGCGGGTCGCCTGCAGAAAGTGCTTCACAGCGAGGAGATGAAGATCGCCTACCCCAACCTGCTGTTCGACCGCAACATCATCGATGGCCGCGGCATGATGTGCTCCTTCCTGACCCTGACCATTGGCAACAACCTGTCACGGCAAACAGAAGGGCTGGCATCTCCGGCACAAGGATAGTCATGTCGAGCTCATCGTCGGAGCCTCTCGTGACAAATGGGTGGCTCGCAAGCCGCAGCAGGACGAAGAGGGCGGACGCAAACTGCCTCCACTCCGTGGCGGAGGTCGCTCACTGCGCCTTACCGATTACGAATCCAGGGGTGCCTGTTCTTTGAGGAACAGCGACTTCGCTTCGGAGCTTCAGTTTTGTCGCGGGTCAGAACGTGGTTCCGTTTCTTCCTGTCGCTCGGGTGCTGCAAAGAGAAGCTCCAACACTGCCTTTGCGAAGTGCATCAGGTCGTCCGGCTTCCTCCTGTGGTTCAGGTGGTGCCAAGCGAAGATCTGTCACTGCGGTCGTTGTGAACAGTGCTGAGGCGTCAGGTCGTTCTGATAGGGAGTACGCACAACCAACGCAGCACGTTTCGGAGCCACCACGCTCCCTCCTGTCGGTCTGGTGTTGCAAAAAGTAGCACTGTTGCTGCTGTCGCTGAGAACTGTGCCGAGGCGTCAGGTTTAGGTTCCCGAGCCAAGCGGAGGGCGAAGCCGAAACGAGCTTGCCCTTTGAACACTGCGGGTTCATTGCTTGGGGTACTGCAATGCGTTGCAGCACGGTGCCGCCGTGAGGCCTGCCGTTCTGGCTTGCTGAGTCTCGTGCCGTGGGGATCAGCGCCATTGTCGCCGGCCATGATGTCGGTGCAACAAGAATCCACAGCGGAAGGAAAAAGAGAGGAGGAGTAGAAATAGCAGTGGTGGTAGTAGTAGTAGTAGTAGTAGTAGCAGTAGCAGTACGATTAGCAGCTGCAGTACGTAGTAGTAGTAATAGTAGAAGTAGTAGTAGTAGTAGTAGTAGTAGTAGTGGTAATCGTCGTAGTCGTAGTCGTAGTCGTAGTGGTAGTAGTAGTAGTAGTAGTAGTAGTAGTAGTAGTATTAGTAGTAGTAGTGGTTGTAGTAGTGGCAGTAGTAGTGGTTGTAGTAGTGGTAGTAGTAGTGGTATCAGTGTGGTGGTAGTAGTGGTAGTAGTAGTGGTAGTATAGTGGTATCACTGTGGTAGTAGTAGTGGTTGTAGTAGTGGTATCAGTATGGTAGTAGTAGTGGTAGTAGGAGTGGTAGTATAGTGGTATCACTGTGGTAGTAGTAGTGGTTGTAGTAGTGGTATCAGTGTGGTAGTAGTAGTAGTAGTAGTAGTAGTAGTAATGGTAGTAGTGGTAGTAGTAGTAGTAGTGAGGTAGTAGTAGTAGTAGTAGTAGTAGTAGTAGTAGTAATGGTAGTAATGGTAGTAGTGGTAGTAGTAGTAGTAGTAGTAGTAGTAGTAGTAGTAGTAATGGTAGTAATGGTAGTAGTGGTAGTAGTGGTAGTAGGAGTAGTAGTAGTAGTAGTAGTAGTAGTAGAGTCGTTGTAGTAGTCGTAGTAGTAGTCGTCGTCATATTATTATTATTATTATGATTATTAGTACTATTATTAGTATTACTACTACCACTACCAACACCACTACCAACACCACTACCACTGCCACCACTACTACTGCTGCTACTACTACTACTACTACTACTATTAATTACTACTACTACTACTACTACTACTACTACTACTACTACTACTGGTACTAGTAGTCAAGACCATCTGGATCCGTATCCGAAACCCGGCGGAGGCTTGGTTCATTGCGGTTTGATGATCTTGGGCAGTGCAAAGTCACCGCTGCAGAAAACAATCAAGCGCCACCTTGCGTGAGGCGGAGTCCTACCTCGCAGATCCCAGGAAACTCCTGGCCGACTTCTACCTTAGAGGCCGCTTCGATCACAATCAAAGGTATAAGTAACTGAAAAATAAGGACAATATGAGGAACCGGATTCGCGATACCGACAATATGGAGCATAGCAGGGCTTGCCCTGTCCAGGTCCCGAGTTGAGTTCCCACGCTAAGAGTTGGTTCTGGTTGGTTCCGCATCCTTCGGGTGGCAGGCTCAGTGTGGGCTCCGAATCACCGAATTAACTGGCCTAATCGTTGCTTTTATGAGGAAGAATACGTGGCATCAGCCCGTAGTTACGGTTCTGCAATTTGGACGCTATGCGTAACCTGTGAGATGCCTCAAAGCTCGTAGAGAACCCAATCCCGAAAGTCGGCAACGTCTCTGCTTCTCAGGCGACACGCGTGGGCCCGGCGGCACCCTGAAACGAAAGCAGCTCCGCAAAAAGTTCAGGGATTGAGTTTCATACCATGATAACTGAATGATTGATCAGACTACGATGTACTTTGCACCGAAGCTTACACGTTGCATGAAGTTGTCGAGGACCCGTTTTGGGCAACCAGAAGCCAAGGTTTTGCAAGCTTCGCCGCTTCAGGGCTAAGAATGTTGAAGGGAAACTCGGTTAGGATAGGCCGCGATTGGCAGCGAATTGTTCACTAATGTAATTTGCATGGCCCTGCAGTTGTTTCTTGGATTTTCCTTCGGATGCTCTTAAGATTCTGTCTCTTTCAGTAAATGCTGTGCAAAAATCAACTATGCCAAGGTGAAAAAGCACCTTGGAGAAACAAAACGCCGGATCCCCCATGCAGCTTTGAAGCAAACTCCCTACCTAAACCTACCAGCCCTGAACTGCCAGCTGAGCCCAGGGGGCTGCAACCCAACGGCGTGAAGTCGCAACAGTCGACATGGTCCCTAGCTTGCACTGGCGCGGGTATGGGAGGGCCATCCTAGTATTCTGTGGCCGTGGGCATAATTTTCAGGATGCTTGAGGATCGGATGGTTTTTGTGTTGTGGCCGGAGGCCAGGCGCCCCAGTTCCAGCAACCCTGAACCCGTGCAGGCAGGCCCCAGCAGATAAAGGACTGAATGGCCAAATGCACAGACAAGTAAGCGAGTCACACATGAAGACCAGAGAGAACCGGCCGCTACTGGTAGATGCTGCGGAAGAAGGGGTATCTAGCAAGTAGCAGCAGCAGTGAACATCAATTCAACAAACAAATAAGCAGAAATATGAGCACCAAAGACACTGGTCCCTGGTCCCCAGCACCACAACGGCCAACGGGTTTGTTTAAGCTCCCTCACGTTTTATTGAAGAGGGACACGCATACATGCACAAACGTGGAACAACTCCCCTACAACCCTGAACCGCTGAACCTGACTTCCGTCGCTAGGTGCTGTTAGGTGCTGGCTGCCACATGGCAAGCTTACAGCCTTCGGTTTTTTCTGGTGGGCTCAGCAATAAAGCGCCCCAAAACCCGAAGCCACAGCCTCTGCAGCCGTCGATACAAGGTTCGTAGTCTACCGGCCCTGCAGCCGCGACAGCATTGCGAAAATGCTAGGCTGGGCCTGGGCTGGCATCCCTGCACCCGAACCCCAGCACCTGCAAAGCCTCTTAGCTCAGCGAATCCGTTTTGTGCCATTTGGGGGTTTACGGAGCTCTTTTTTACCGTACGGCATCGCTCCAAGTTCCGACACCCTTGGACGAAAAGAGATATAGACAGCTTCTAGACTCTAGACAGCGCTGAAAATCTGGTATCACCACCAATGCCGAAAAAATAATTTGCTCAGAGCCCCAAACATCCGAGCTTCGACAGGAAAGGTGGGAGTGGGGAAAGGCCTCAACGTGAAGGGCAAGTCCGCGAAGAAGAATCGGCTGTCTGCCTTTGCACCTTGTCCTGTGATGAGGTCCTTGCAATCAGAAGGTTCAGGCCAGGATGCAGGTCGCAGGACCTTGTTGAGGTTCATGGCGTCGGATGTTGGGGGCCGAGGTTCGCCGTGACCATGTAGAGTACAGGCAGGGTACAACTTTGCGAGCCCGCTGCCGGAGCATGCCGGAGCCGGACTGCAGAAGCCCAGTAACGCAGAGAAGCATTGAAGCTTTTCTTGAAAGAATGGCCCTTTCAGGTGCCGTTCTTGCAAATCAGCCCCCTGCCTGCATCAGCTTAGACGGCTTGAGACATGAAGGGCGGTTTGGCATGACGGCTTGCGGGGTTTCAGGGTTTGGAGCATTTCAAGCTGTGGAAGCGTAGAATCTCCAGGCCTGAGATCACAATCTTCCTTCTACAAACCTCCTTCCTCGAAGGCCCTACATCCTAAACCCAAAACCCTGAGGCCCTTTGACTCTCCACCAAAACCTTACGCCATGCCTTCGTGCGAGGCAAGAACGAGCACAAGACACAGGTCGAGGTTTCTCCCGCCGATGCCCGGACCAAGCGGCCTGGCAAAGCCTCTGGCAAGGGTGGCTTCAGGGTACTCGTAGGGCAGGCCTGCAGGGCTTGAGGCGCTCAGGCGTTCGTGAGTCCTTCGATGTCTTTGGCTTGGTGCCGCTTTCCCCCGGCGCTGGCGAGCTTGCGGCCGAGGATCTTCTACAAGACCGCCGCCAACCGGGACTTTGCACATCAGGCGCTCCAGAAGGTTCTGAAGGCGGGCTCTGTCACATCCTGTACCAGCAAGGGTCAGAAGAATGATGGAATAATGATACAACGATTGGCAAAAGAGACTCCTTTACTGTTGAGAGCGACGGAAGCAGAAGTGGTGCAAGGCCCACGAACTTTCGTGCCGTTTGTCCACGTGCCTCTCTCACTCGTTTCCTTCACTGCAGAGATACAAAGTGAAGTGGGATGTGGATGGTTGCTTTTGACAGTCAAGCTCACAAGCTTTCCACATGGAAGGAGCATTCCCTGAAGATCAAAGTCCCAGCCGCCTGTCAGCAGGGAATTGGCTTTGGCTGCTGAAACTTCGGAGGGCCGAAAAAAACTCAGGGCTCCGTGATGGGGGCTTGGGCTATCTGGGACGCAGTTTTTACAAGGTTTTCAGGTTGAGAGTCACCCCATGAACTTGTACTTGTGAGCTGATGGCCGACTTGGGGTTGAAGCTTGGTCTAGCTTCCTTGTGAAGAAGACCCGACATGCGAACTCCCAGTGATTTGAGTCTAACCGGCACTGATGGTCCAAGTACTCTCAACAAGAAGAAGACGGAAGGCGCATGAAGGCGCTGAATGCCGAGACTTCGAGCCATTGTATCGAGAGCCGTCACAACTCTGACCTGGACTGCGACAGCGCAGATCGACGACTCAGAAACGAGACATGCCCAACGCCATAAACCCGAGAAAACTGAGCCGTGTGCTTGAGACTCTGCACCGCGCAACATATCCCTGCAAGCTCTTGCGCCTTCGTAGGTGCAAAGGTAACAAACCATTGCGTTTGCTGAAGCTGCTTAGCCACTGAAGTATATGTGCAGCAAAAGCCTACGGTCGCCCTCAGCATCCTCATTCCAGCTCAATTCTGTAAAGTATGTTTGGAACCTTGGGCCTCAGTGAGAGTCGAAACTAGCGCTGCAACAACAAAGCCGACACCAGAGGAGATCAAGCTCATCAGCAAGTACGAGCCGGTTTCCTTCGGCAGCGACCCCAGCGAGTGCTGAAGCCTGTGAGAAGGGCTTTCGGTGCCAAATCACACGCGGTTTGGGCTCTATGCTGTAGATTCGAAGACGGTATTGCCAGTCTTGTGCCTGGTCGTGATGGCGGCATTGCTGATGGTAGTGGTGGTGGTATGAGTCGTCAACGTGGCCGTGGTCGCGCAGTGTTAGCAGCTAGTTAGCAGTAGCCGTAGCCGTAGCAGCAGCAGCAGCAGCAGCAGCAGTCGCAGCAGTAGCAGTAGCAGTAGCAGTGGTGGTGGTGGTGGTGGTGGTGGTGGTGGTGGTCGTCGTCGTCGTAGTAGCAGTCAGCAGCAGTATTCTTTTGCGTTTGTAGTTCTTCAGTTCCTCAGGAAACTCTCGTAAGAGCCCTGAGGCTTGGATGTGCCAGAGCCTCTCGTTCGGGAGGTCTACATCATGAGGTGCCTTGCAGCAGAAGACTTAATGCCTGAAGACTCTCTGAGTGATGAACACCGAATCCCCGAATGATTCCGAGCGTGTGTTCATAATGATGGCCGTAGACATCAAAAGAAGGGTCATCATCTGTATCAGGGTGGCAACAGTTCTTCTCCCAAAGTTGGTGCCCTTTTTGACTGCCACAATCGTGCCGCGTAGTTAAAGATATCCAGAGGTAGGTTACACACTTCTCCGTATATCTGTTTAGCCACAGTAAACACCGTGTGTAGTTGTGCATGCATGCGTGCATGCGTGGATGTATGTATCTATGCATGTATGCACATCAATAGCTACGTACATACGTACATGAATACGCAGGGCGCAGGGCTCGCAGCTAAGCCCCTGCAGCCCCTGCACCCTAAATCTAAATCCCATAAGCACCAATTCCCTAAACCTAAAAACTAGACCCCTAAATGCATACATCCTCTACCACCTTCAAAACCCTCTCCCTGAGTCAGGCCGGACATCTCCCCGATTCTGGGCTGGGAGACGGGGAGAGACTCCGAGCCGGCCTTCATGGACATGCGCCTCGCCTTCGAGAGTCGAGGCCTCGAGGGCCCTTCTCAGTGCCCTGCCCCTCCAAAAGCTACAGTAGTATAGGTATAGGGGCCCTCATCATTACCTGGTCTGATTATTAAGGCCCTATATTAGCCTTAAATCCCTCTCTCTGAAAATTTATGCACATTATAAGCCCAAGCAAAATCGCTGGAACCAGACAGTTGTAGAAGTGCAGCAGCACGCGCTTCCGCGCGGCCTCATGAGTGTGGAGGGATCTTCTAAGGCTCAGGTCTCTAGGCAGAGGAACCTTTGACTCGCTTTGTTGATGGCGCTGGAGCTGGCGAGCATGGAATGTTGGATCCCATGTTTTTCTGGTGCAGTTCGTCTTGGCGTTGTCAGGTGGTTTGTTCTGGGACCGCGTGTCGACGTCAAATCCCCTGAGCCCCCAAGCCGACAGAGTGGAGATGCACGCCTGAGCAGCAAATTCCTGCAGTCCTCACTCCTTGAGACCCTGCACCGCTAAAAGCCCACTGACCCAAGACGAGGAATCTTCACGCTGTTCGCGATGAGAAGACGGCTCCGCAGGCCCTTTCGGAACCGCGATTTTCTGCAAAAGGATCTTGCCTGCAGACTCCCCAGTGCGATGCAATCCTTGGGTGCAGGCTTTGGATGGCTGGAATCACGGTCAGTGGCCCCAAAATCCACGAAAGCTTGATGCTGTGGCATGAGAAGCTTCAGATATCACCTAAAGCCATCAGAGCCCAACAACCCTCACGGATCTTGTGAAGGCTTCACTATCTGGATCCGTGTTGTTAACGAAGTCGTGACTGCTGTATCACTTGGAGTCATACTAATCACCAGGTCGCCAGTTACTGCCGAGACCCAGAACAGATCCCAAACAATTTGCGTTCAGTTGAAATCCATCACAGCCCAAAGACGTCTGGCAGAAACAGCGCCCCTCAATCAACCCTGATCCCCAAAGCCTTCAATCCGCTACAGCCACCCGCAGGTGGTCTTGTACCAGTTCGATTCCTCAGACCCGATGATGCTGGGCATGTGAAAGGGTTTTGAAGCAGCGAACCCAGCACCCTGAACCCTAAAAAATAACAGGCCGAAGCCTCGAGAGTTTTGGGCCTAGGGCTGTGGAGAGATTTATCCAGACCCTGCTAATTGCTTCATTACTGTTCCGATGACTCTGACTCTGATGACTCTGATGACCATTGCATGCTTATCAGGACACTTAGGCCTATGGCCCGTGATCTTAAAGAACTGTACACCCAAACCGGCCGTAGATCCTAAACAGCAGTACACTCAACAGCTCCAAATCTTGCCGCAACCCTCCACCCTGCCCCTCCCACCCCAAAATAAAACTGAACCTTACGCTGCAGCCGCAAGGAATCCTTTGGGACTCCTCATCGCCTATGCTGAGAGCTCGGTGAAGCCCGTAGTCTCCGACTTCGACACCTTCACCGTGGGCGACGGGGCGAAACAAGTAAGGACTTTTGGGAGTTCTGGGGAGTGAGGCTTTGGGGTTCATGTAGATGGAGTTTTGGGAGTTTCGAGCTTGATGGTTCGGGGTTTGTATAAGTAGCTGGCTTTTGGGGTTGGGATGGATTTCCTCCCGGTTCTGGAGACGGTCCTGAGCTTCGTGTTGACTGGGGTTCTGAGTCGGGAGGTTGCATCGCCATCGTGTTGTTGGTCAGGACCGCCTTGTAGCCGGCCGGGAATTACTTTCGGCCTTCGCCGGGGTTTCGATTTGAAGCCAGGGTCTTCTGTTCAAGGCACAACTTCAGACCATCCCAAGCTCCACAACCTAGCCCCGGAGTCGAGGGCCATCAAGCTTCAACTCCGCATCAAATCCTAAACACTGTAAGTTTCCTAGCTAGATAAACTATAGCCTATAGCAGTAGCGTGGAACCCTAAACTACCAAACACAACTTGGGACAGCTCCCAGGTAGCAAGGGCTTCCGGTACGCGGGATTTCCCGAGAAGCAGCTTCCTGCCAAGAAACGGGCAAGGTGGCAAAGACCAGCACGGGCTCCGAGGGTTTGGGGGTTTGTGATCGCTCAACTGAAGACCCACTCGATAGGGTCAATTCCGGGGCTGCTAAGCGACGCGGGGTCCAGGTTGGGCGGGGTTGGCCGACGGCTGCGAGCAGAAGCTGAACAGTTGAACTGCTGGCCCAAGGATAAAGCGCCCTGCGCACTTCATCAGCCTAAGCTTTGGCAAAAGGTGCTTTCATTAGAGGTTCCATGTCAAGCTTTGTCATGACTTCGTTCGTGCTGAGGAGTCTTGGTGGGCATCTCTCACCGGACCCGAATCCTGAACCCAGCGCCACAGCCGAGGATAGAGCTGATCCACTGGTCGCTCAAGCACACCAAGCGGCTGCTTGAAGCTCCCGACCACAAAGGCGCCACCCCCATTTGGCCTTCAAGCTCCGAAGTCTCCCTAGCCGCCCGGGCCCTAGAAGATCCTACAAGCGACACCTAGAGGTGGCTCCCCACCTAGGACGAGCCCCTTCCGACTTACTTGGAGGCTCTTTTGACTTGCTACTAACCCGACTACTAAGTCCAAAGAGCAGCGACGGGTTTCTGAGATTGTCAGTAGCAATCTGCCCTCGCCAGGACTGCGCTTCGGTTGGCAACCCTTAGCAAATAGACTCCGCAAGCTTCAACCTTCATGTTCCATAGCTACACAAATGACATGAAGGACTTCACAATATGGAGTGACATCAATGAGCGTTTGCCGAAAGTGTGGTGCAACGGAGTTGCAGGATGGACGTCCCGGTGGCTCGAGGTGTTGCAGCTCGTCTTAGGGCCGAGGGCCTGGAAACCCCAAGAGCCAGCATCTTTCTCTGAACTCCGCACCTTGGGTTTTCAGACGGGTCTGCTTAAAATGGCTTAACAAGCGTTCTAAAGCCTAAACTCCTCAATCCCGAAAACCCAAGGACTCCACGCATACCAGGCACACAGGAACATTACACCCCTGAGCTTAAAGCCCAACATGCCATAAGCTCCAAAGCACCAAGATCTGCACCCTTTGGACTTGAAGTCCGGTGACTTTGCGAAACCGTTGTAGACATGAGTCGCTTGGGACATTGAGCATCATCAGAAAAGAATGGAAGGCTCAGACCCAAAGGCCCAAGTCTCAAACACTGCTGCAAGACGGGCCCCAAACAAGAGAAGTAGGAGGGTTTAGGGGGTTTGGACTCCAGTACCTCGCAGCTTTTTTCAGATCGCCACCATCACGTATGATCCTCTTTTCGTGCGGAGAGGGCAACGAGTGTCGATTCGAGGAATTACGGGGCTTGATGCCTTGAGAGTTGAAGGGTTCTGTTGCGCAAGCCCGCAGCAGCCAAGGAAACAAGAAGCGAATCAGGCGCTTCGGCAGCAATGCCAGACCTGCTTTGAGGGGTGTCCCACATCCCCCAAAACATTCACGATAAAACTACAACAGGAAGTAAACACTCCAACAAAAGCGCCCAACGCGCCTTGCACTGTACAGGCCTTATGGAGCTGAAGACCCCAAACCCCCAAAAATGGGCCAGACTAGGAGCCTCAGCACAAGATTGCAAAATGCCTTTGAGTTCCCGGTTTACAGCCCCAAGAGACCCGAGTCGAAGCCTGGTGAAGAGCCTTTAAGACAGCTGCGTCTGCCGCTGCTCAGGGCTTCCACCCCAACGTGCCCAAGTTCGGCTTCGGCGACGATGTCTCCTGTAGCACCTGGGGCTCAACGGACTCTTCGAGATTTCTGCAAGATCAATGACGTTCACAGGATTTGAAGGGTTCTCGGTGGCGGTTTGAGAAGATTCTTAGGAGGTTGGGTAGCGAGTTCAGGGCAGCATGGCCAAATCCGTGGCACTCACAAGACAACTTGGACGGAGCCCTTGTTCCAGAGGTCTTGTGGAGGACGTCGTGCACGAAACGGAGGCCTGTGGAGCCGTGCGGAGCTTAGCGAAAGAAGGCACAGTACTCGTAGAGCTTGGTTTGGCCACAACCCGAGATATGGGCTCAAGACTTGCTTTGGGGCCGAGGGTCGAGGATGTGCGTTTAGAGGGTGTTTGCCCCACCGGCGCCAAACCTATACGGTTTCGCCTGAGGAACGCGTGCGTGTCGCAACTGGGTCCATGAATTCCGCCTGAGGTGCGTCATGGTGCGGAGTGCTTCAATTTCTATTTCCCACAGGAGCTGGACCAGGATGGACGGGCTTGAAGCTTTGAGGCCTTCTAGGCCGGAGGCCCCAAGTAGATTCAGAGGTCTACAGCTTCAGACTTGTTCATCGTAATGTAGTATTCGCAAGACTAGCTGTGATAACAACAGCAGTGCCGTATCAAACAAGTTGTAGTCAGAGTTGAGAAGTCATTACTACAAACTCCAGATGGCATTCTATGTAGACAGACAGTATCCCGAAACACTGCCGAGCTATCCAGAAGTCCACGTCAAGGCATGACATCAGCATCCATGAGGACGCCCCCTGCGCTTGCCCGCGCTTGGCGGATGCGGACCAAGGCACCCGGTGCCATGGCGCGAAGATCCTCACTGCTTTGGCTGGTCAGTTCTTTGACACGGGCCAGCACAACGCCTTGCTTGGGGCGAGGATTGGAGAAGCACAGAACCCGGGACCCTCTCCCTGGGGATCGTATGTCACAAAGCGCAGGCGCAAGCTCAAGCAGCAGGGGCCGGCACAGCCTGGTGCCCAAGTGCCTCCGGGCATTTCTGCTCTCTTTGGGCCTGCGGCGCAACAGCAATTGATGAGCATGCTCAAGACCATGATGGAGACGATGATGAAGAACATGATGGAGTCCCTCTTCAAGGCCAGTGGTCAGTGGGCGTCTGGGGTGACGCCGCTCGGCCCGACGGCCAAGGGAAAGGGCAAGCATGGAAAAGCGCAGGGTGGCGGTGGTGGCTCAGGGGAGCCGCTGGCTGCTGCATCTGCCGCGGCGGTCGAGCTTGACTACCAGGGCGACCCCATCAAGGGCACGAAGGGCCAGACCAAGGGCAAGGACACGTCTGGCGGCGCGGGTGGTGGCAAGAACCTCGGCATGGCATTGAAGGGCGGCGAGACACAGAAAGGTCACAGGGGTGGCAAGGACGGCAAGGGCAAAGGCAAGAATCGGCCCCGCAGCGGCGCCGGAATGAGGACACAGTGGTGCTTCGGTGTGTGGCATGGGGTTCCTTCGCGGACAGCCAGGAGTTCCAGGCGTTGCTCAAGAGGCCCGGCCGTGCGGTTCGAGCATGGTATGCCAAAGTGGCGCCCTTGTGTATCCAGGAGTTCATCGACTCGTGGGGCAAAGCCACGACGACAATCAGGTGCGGGGCCTCCTTCGCCTCACAAAGGAGGCGGCCATCACTGCCCTTCGCTCTTCGGGCTCCTGGGCCAACGGGGTCGCGCTCTTCTTCACGGCCCTGGACTGGACTGCGGTTGACGTTTGTGAAGCCCCTGCTCTTTTGTGGATCGACAGGGAGGCGGGCGAGGATGCCAGGGAGTACGTTGAGCGTGTCCGCAAGGAAGCCGTTTGCCATGGGCTCCATTGCGGCGGTGACCGGCTGGCCGTCCGGCTTGACCAGCTTGACCCCCGAATCCTTCCGCAACGGTCGGTATGGCACCTTCGCGGTGCCCGTCAGGAGTGGCTGTGTGACGACATCGAGGGCTTGCTGATCGCGGCTGGCTTCAGCGAGGTGACCGTCGAGGCAAAGTTGCTGCGGCGCGGACAGCCGGTGTGGGAGAGGTCAGGGCAAGCGCCAGGACTTCCGCGAGTTCGTTCCCATCGAGCTCGAGGTCGACGGTGGCACTGACGACGGGAAGGAGTTTGTTCTCGAGGTTGCGAAGGTGCAGAGGCGGAGAAAGCAGAGCGATGTCAAGGCTTTGCCGGAGGAGCGGGTTGCGAGGTTTGGCTCCGTCGACATCGGCGATGTCGTCCACAAGGTCGCCAAGCCCAAGCGTAAGAGCCGTGACCCCTGAAGGACATGGTGATCGATGACGAGGAGGCGGATGCCGGGACCGAGGTCGGGCAGAAACGGCGGCAAGCAGACCAAGGCGGCAGGCCCGAGTCCGTGCAGGACGCTGACACAGCCGAGCCGCCGACCAAACGGCCTTGAAGGTTGTTACCTTGCCCGATGGTGCCACGGCTCACCCTCACCCGGGCGGTGGTGATTGTCTTTTTCATTGCTTGGCTGAGGTCCTCTCTTCGATCCAGCAGAAGCGGCGTGGGCACCGAGCGGCGCGGGCAGGCATTGCGGCGTGGATGGAGTCCCATGTTGTGCTTCTCGAACCGCATTGAACTATTGATGAGTTTTTTAGATTTGATATACAGAATTTTTGAATTTTTTGAATTTTCAGCTGAAAGTCAATGAGAACTTTTTAATTTTGGATGAAATTTCTAGATTTTTTATAGAAAATTTCCAATTTTTTGTATTTTTTTTGAATTTTCAGCTGAAATTCAATGAAAATTCACTAATTAAGAATGAGTTCTTTTGATTTTTTATACAAAATTTGCAAAGTTTTGATACTTTTTTTGAATTTTCTGGTGAACTTCAATGAAAATGTATGAACTATTGATGAGTTTTTTAGATTTGATATACAGAATTTTTGAAATTTTTTTTGAATTTTCAGCTGAAAGTCAATGAGAACTTATTAATTTTGGATGGTCCGGCCTTCGGAATCCACTACTTTTTCGACACTTCGCACTTCCCGGTGCCTGGTTTTCACAACACCTTTTCGGCACATCTTGGCCCATTTAACATCATGGGACAAAATTTACACGCCAAAATTTACACGCAAAAGTGTAAATTTTTTACACCCCATTTTGGCGTATAAATTATTTATACCACGTTTTGCGTGTAAATTTTCCGAGAGTGTAAAATTACACGCAAAGGATCTATCAGGTGGGACAAGTTGTCTCCGGCTGGCTCGGCTGCAGCGGGTTCCTTCTCGGACTATTGCCAGCGGGTGCCGGCCAATGGGGAGGCTGGCTGGAGCTCTACGCAGCGGGGGTGGCGCAGGACTTGAACATCCTCGTTCGTGCTGTGTCCCGAGAACGTGGTGAAGTTCCCGTGCCGCAATGAGCATGGCAAGTTCGCGGTTTTCAAGTACGAGGGCGGCCACTATGAGATCGTCACCATGCCGGAGGCGACCATTGCCCGCCTATGGTTGGCGGCTGAGACGGCCAAGCCCACAGGAGGTCGGGGAGGCGGGGTCGATCCGCCCCCTCGAGCTTGCACCTATCGCACTTCGAGGATGCGTCGACTGGGGCTGCTGTTCGTGGTCTGGGCCGCGGCGACGCTCCCAAGAAGGCCTCTGGCATGGGTAGCCGGGGCCTCGCGCTCTCAGACTTTGGTTCGTCTTCGGGGCGGCGCTCTAAACCTGGGGCTGGCTCTATAGTGGATGGAGGACGGTCCCCGCGCACGCTCGGTGACTACGAGGCGCCTCCTGCTGTGACCGCGCCACCGCCGCGTTTCTCGAGATATCGCAAAGAGGAAGGCTTTCGCTGGCCTTGCCAGCTTTGCCCGTTCGTCGCCGTGAAGGACACCTGTGCTGCTGTGCAAAGCTCGCTACCTGCACTGCACCAACTACCACCAGGGCGAGGGTCTGCCGGGCGCGCGCACCATGTGCTTCGACGTGTTCCAGACCTTGGCCGAGGGGGCGGAGTACGACTGGAAGTGTCCGCTTTGCAATTGGGGGATTCCCCGTGGCGAGCGTGGCCGGGTGTCGGCGGCGGCCTTCGGGATCGGCCGTGACAGGCACCGTGCCAAGCATCATCGGCACCTCGATCGCAAGGCCGACCTGAGTTCCTCATTGCTCATGCGAGCAAGGGTGCGAATGCTCACAACGCGGGCATGGCCAAAAGGGCGCGCGACATGCGGAGCGAGCTGGAGCTGAACTGGCAGGCCTTCCAGTGGCTATATGTCCTGTTCCAGAAAACTACCAGACGGCATAAGCTTTGTGTCAAGACCGCTTGGAGGTGCAAAGCCTGTGGATTGTGCACCAGGGTGAAGAGAGATCGAGCTCAGCATGGCGGGCGATGTGGGATGGGATGCGGGAACCTTGCGCGCCACCGTGCCAAGCTCGAGGAGGACAAGGCCAAGGCCAAGACTTTCCACCACGGCATGGATGCAGCTCTCCTGGCCCAGGTCTTTGACAGTGCGCTTTTGGCGCTGGGCGGCGCCACGCCGCAATGAAGTTGCATGGCGAGAAATCGGCTGGGTTCGTCACCATGAATGTGGAGAAGAACGCTTGTGTGAAGCTCGCGAACATCAGCGATTTCTTCAAGAATTCGGCTTGCCAAATAATGTGCCTACAAGAGGTTGACATCAACGTGGCGAGCGGGCCCTCTTGGATTGCAGCTTGGCGGTCTAAGGGGCTCCATGCATTATTGGGTACAGACCAGGCGATGTACAGGACGTCGCTTGTGTCCTCTTATCCGGGTCGCCTCGTCCAACTTGACGTGTCCGACCCCAGCAGGGTGACGGCGGTGGCCTTTGAGTACGTCTCCGGTGGAGGGTACGAGAAGGTGATCGTCGTGAGTTTGCGCAACTACTTTTCGGATAAGGAGGCGGCTGCTGCTTTCTTGGAGGAGACGGTTGCTGCCCTGGAGGCCATCGGCATGAAATGGATCATCCTCGGCGACTTCAACCTCACGGCTGACGATCCGCCTCTGGCTCGGAGGCTCGCGGCTGGCCTTTGCAGGCTCCTTGACGAGCCGTTCCTGGCGCAGAGGCCTCTTCCTGGGACGGCCGGCAGTGTTCGTCGGATCAACTTTGGCGTCAGCTCGCGAGGGGTGACGACCACACGGCGGTGGCCTACTCCTTCTGCTTTGAGGTTTATGAGGCTTCTCTTCGTCGATGCGGGAACCTTTGTCGACGGATTCGGTGACAACGGCTGCTTGGATGGGTGCCTGGGACGCGGAACATTTTCAGGATCTCCTCTTGGGGAATGACTTGGACGGTGCTTGGAGGCTGCTCTCGGACACTGCCGAGCGGGTGTTGAGTTGTGGGGATGGTCGTGGCCGTGGTCTGCCGCGCTCCGGACCTTGGGCTCCACGGGGGCGAGCTCTTAGAAGCAAGGCGGCCTCGGCCTTTTTTGGTTCGGCTCAGGTGCTTTGGCCGCCGATTGGGGCGCTGGCTCGACAGCCTGGAGACCGGCGGCTCCGTGACATCGTGGTCAGGATCTCGAGTTCTTCGAGTTCTTCGATGGCCATTACAGCTGGCTCGCTGAGCTTCCTCTCCTGGGCGTTAAGCGTCATGTGCAGTGGGTGGGCGACCGGCTGTCCGTGAGGCCGGGTTCGAGCGTTGGCGGGAGGCGATGCGCAACTCGCTTCCCAAACGGTCGGCGTGGATCAAGCGCCGAGCTGCTCTGAGGACGGGGCCGGTGTGTTTTCCGGTGGCCCCTGGCTCCCTCGCTCGGACTGCGATCCACCCGAGGACCGTCATCGAGGAGGCCGAGCAGGAGCGGGTGGCGCGCTGGACCATGGGCCGTGTGGATGATGCTCCGGTGGCCAACCTTCTCCTGCTGTCACCAACGTAGTGCAGTTTACCGCCGATAAGCTTCGCAGGGTGTGTGCTCGCGTGCGGCACAAATCTCCTGGACTCCTGGAGCGGACGACTGGGCGGCCGGGCACTTCTTGGCCCTCCCCGACCCGCTTTGGGAGGCGTTGGCCCAGCTCTGGCAACGCTGCTACCAGCGCGCGGCTGTTCCTCAACGATGGCGTGAGGCCAAGGTCTGCTTGGTCTCGAAGGCGAGCGGGGGGCATCGACCCATAGCTGTGCTGGCCCTGGGCTACCGCCTCGGCGCTTCCGTCCTCGCTCGCGAACTCAGGTCGTGGACGGAACAGTGGACTGGACTTAGAATCATGGGCGGCTTTCACCAGAGGTCTTGCCGAGACGTGTTCCTCAGGGTCATCCATGCCAGTGACGACCCTCGTGTCGCTTTCATCGGCGAGGACATCAGCAAGTTCTTTGACTCGCTGCTGGCCCCGCACGTGCGCTTGGTGTTGCGATTGCGACACTTACAGGCTCCACCTCCCTTTGTGGACTTCGTGCGCAGCGTCATGGCAGAGCAGTGGCGGGTCTTCACTTCCGGTGGGCTCGATGGCGAGGCCTGGCACAAGACCACCAAGGGCGCTGCTCAGGGAGATCCGCTCTCCCCTTTAGTGGCCGGGGCGGTCGTGTATGTGTGGACGACCTGGGTCGCACGTGACAACACTGAAGCAGTCTCCTTTGTGGACGACCGCAGCTTCGAGTTCGGCGGCGCTTCTGGCGGCCAAAGGACGCAGTGCGGAGGTTGACGAGGCCTTTGGTTTCAGATGTGACGCGCGCAAGTGCCAGCTTGCTGCCGGGCCCTCTGGTGATGGGGCTGCTCTGGCCGCGTCCTTTGGCTACGACCTCAAGGATCACCTGGAGTTCGAGTTCCTGTCCCTCGCGGTGCTCCTCCCTCTTCGGCTCGGTTCGTCTTCGACGTGGCGCAGGCCCGGGTGGTTTGCTCGAACGCCGTTGCGCAGGGCATGTGGCAGCGAGGATTCCACTACCGCACCCTCGTGACGCCGATGATGTGCTGGGCTGGAGCCATCGCCTCGATCCCCAGTGACGAGGTGATCCGGCTTTGCAACTCCATCCTCTCGGTCACCAATTACCGCCATGCTTGTGACACGCCGGCCGTGGCTGTGTGGGAAATCTTAGGCTGGGATTGCAATCCCAGCTTTGCGAGAAAGTGGGCAGCCCTAAGAGACGCTGTAGGGTTTGTCTGCAAGCCGTGGCCCACCTTGCTTCCCTTGGCTGCTCAGGTGCTCGAAGAGCTTGGCTGGTGGACCTTTGACCATGGCGCTCGCATCTGCCGCCGCGATGGTCTCGGCAACTTGAGGTCCTTCGTGGTCGGCGTCGACAGCCTTTCCATCCTTGGCGACTGGCTTCGTGACTGGCACAGGATGGCTGCTCTCGAGTCCACTACCAGGGTGGCCTCGGCTTTGCACCGTGGCGAGGACGAGCTGGCTCGCGGTGCGCTCCTGCCCGGCGTTCCTCGCAGGTCTTTGGTTCTTCTACAGGGTTATAAGAAGGTTTACCACAGCACGGAGGAGCGCAACCTGCGGAACTCCGCCCTGGCTACTGGCTGCTCGGTCTGGGCAAAGGCAGCTCGCAGTGGGGTGCCAGCACGGGACATGCTGCGTGTGCGTGCGGCTTGCGACTCCCAAGTCGCCCTCATCTGGCATGGCATTGTGCAAGAACTCGTCACCTCCGTTCCTCTGGGGCAGCCCCGGTGAACCGCGCGGAGGAAAGACTCTTTGCGAAGGTCGTGCCCGAAATGCCCCCGGCTCCTTGCGTGGTTGGTGCCGATGAGCTCACCGACGACCTTTCTGCGGCAATCGACAGCGCCCTGGCCACTGGTCTTGTCGAGGTTGGCACGGACGGCAGCGCGGTCTCCGAGGTCGCGGCGTGGGCCATCGCCATCCACGGCGGTGGCGTCTTCTCTTTGAGCGTTGCAGGGGAGGACCAGAGTCCTTACCGGGCGGAAGTCGAGGCGCTGCGCGTGCTCCTGGTTGCCCTGCGTCAGTGCAGGCGCCGTGGCAGGGTTATCATCGTGTGCGACTGTCAGTCTGCGATGCTGGCCTTGGAAGGGCGGGGCCAGACGGCCGTTCTGGCTACTGAGCTTCACAATGGGCTTGCTGAGTGCCGCTTGTTGGGCTTAGTAGCGTCGAGTGCTACTGGGTTTCCAGCCATGGTAAGCCGGCTCCTGCCCGTTGGCGGGTGCCCCCTGCATGGAGGTGAGGTCGTCGCCAGGTCCGTCAACGACAGGGCGGATGTGGAGGCCAGACGGTGCGCTGCTGCACGCTGTCGTGGCTCTGCTCGTGAACGGTGCGGCAAAGCGCGCGCTGCTGCCGTGCAGTGGGAGGAGGCGGCGATCCGAGCTTTGGCTCGCATCGCTGAGCACTACTATGCCCAGTAGTGCGCTGGCCCCGTGGCTTCTAGGGCATCGGCACCCTGCTGTCACACTTTGAAAACCTTGAAAGGCATGACATCAAGTCTTTTGTTGGTATAAATCGCGGGACTTGAGCCGCTGCATGGCTTTGGGCTTGAGACGTCTGCTCAGACTTGAGAAAAGCCCGAAGCCCATCCCGAAACCTTGCAAATCCTTTTCACCACACCAGAACCGTTCACCCTTAAAGCAAAGATGCGGCAAGAATCACATAATGAGCTCCAAAACCTGACAAAGTCGCGGGTGCCATGAACAAAATTATGTTTCTGTTTAAGCCGCTTCAACCCGTCCCTACGAAGGAGTTTTTGATCGTTTGGGACGGCTTCAAAGATCCACCGTGGAGGAGTGTGCACCCCAGGTCAATTTGAAATCCTTAGGCCTTAGGCTTGGTCCTCGATTTTTGGACATTCGGTGAGTTCATCCGCCCTGCTGGTATGTCGAGGGTGCGTGGTTTGGAAGGTGCTTCACGTTTCTTGCAGAACTACCAAGCTCAGCTGAGCTCAGCTCAGCTGAAATAAGCCAGAGCTGGATCGTTTGCCATCGCGTGCAAATTTCTCGAAAACCGCAAACGAATTGCACTGCAGTGCCGTGGGGCTCGCAGACAAGGTAACAAGGCAAGGGAGAAGTCGGGGTATGGGAAATACTTTCGAGTGTTTACAGGCCACCTTCGCGCACTAATGACTACACTGTGAGAAGCCAAATAAAGGCTTGCGTCACGTTGTCGTCGTCGTTCTTGTTGCCGTTGTGGTTGTGGTGTTGTGGTTGTGGTTGTGATACCAGGATCTGAAACAGACTCAACAGCCTAGAAGTTCAGCTATCTCACGCTCCGAAACCGCAGCCCGCCAAGACGTCAGCGAACTCGAGCTCCGGGACTTCCTGAAGAAGCGGGTCGACGACGGCTCCCTGCCTGGGGTGGGGGGGGTTCGGTTGAGGGCTTTGCTTTCTTTTCCGGGGCTGTCGGGCTCCCAAGGTTGGGCTTGTCGAGGCTTTTGCGAGGCTTTCGGGTGACGGCCTTGCAGCTGCGTCCGGGCTCTTCTTGGGGCACTGGAGCTGTGAACTTGGAAGGGACTAGCCTGAAACGACCTGCGCAACACGAACTGAGCAAGAAGTCTTGAGAAGCCACCACCCTGAACTTTCGCCAAGGCTACACCTTCCCCTTCAACCCGGTCTGGCCGATACGGGATTCAGGAGACCGATCGTGGGCTCAGATTGAGGTGTTGCTCTGGGCTTGGGAGGTTGGGGTGTCGATGTTTCAATAACCAGGGATTTCGGTGTGGCGGATGCTGGCTTCAGGAGCAGTGTAGGATGTGGGTTTGGTTCGTGGGTGGTTATGACAGAAGACGTCTTCGTGAGCCAAGCCACACAGAGACTATCCGAATGACATGCTTGAAAGCTACTTCTTACACAGCTGAACTGATGAATAAGCTCCAGGCGCGCATCTTGGGTTCTAGAGGCTGCAGGGCATATGGAAACGAGAGTGAAGGAGGTGATGCTGCAAGGGCTGAGCACAGTCAAAGCAAGCAGAAGTCGTGCTAGGTTCAGGAGGGTCGGGTTGAGACTGTCAGGGTTCAAGGTTTTCGAGGGTTTGTGAATTCGAGGCCGCTCGAGCCCCCAACCTAGAACGATACATCCGATGGCTTACGTCTAGAACTGCCACACGTTTGACACGCAAGTAGCGGCATTTAACCTGCTCAAACTCAACCATGATCCTGATTCTCTCCCCGGACTGAATGCAGAGTCTTCACAGCTGCTGCGCACCTTGGCTTTGGAGTGCGAGGTTCCCATCTCTGAACTCCCAATCCCTCGCTCAAGATCCGACAATTCTCCCGTAGCACCTTCGAGTCCAAAGCCTAAACTACCAAATTCCAACACCTAAAGTCCAACACCTAGGGTGGCTAAGCTGTAGATCCTCCCAGCCCGCGACTTCTCTCCCGCAGGCTGGTATGAAGTTGTACAGAAGCTGAGGGCCACCAGCGAGGCCGTACAGCCAGCCAGACTTCTGTTTCTGAAGGTTACATCTTATAACCGTTTTTGATCATGCATTGTCTTACATTAGTAACCGTGGTATTGATGGTAGAAGCTCTTTCATAAGGCGTTTTGTTCGATGTGCATCTACAGCAGGTTGGCATCGCAGTTGTCGGCTGTTAGGATTGGTTTTCAGGTCTGGCTGTTGTTGACATCCCGCATCATGCCCAAAGCTCCGACGGCCTCAAAGCTGCTTTGGCGAAGGGCAAAGCCACCTTGGAAAGCTGGTATCCCGCCAAGACAGGCCGGGAGAATGTATGAGAGTTCCGAGCTCGGTAATCCCCAACAACCCCCACATGCCCCGCCATCTCCCAAGCTCTATTGCTGAACCTAGGAGTGCTGACTCATTGAATCAGTCCTGAGGCCTGATAGCGGAAAGAATTGTGAATTACAGAGATTTCGACTCCTGTAAGAGATGATATGGTTACACATAGCTACACCGACTTCCATCGTCTGAAACTGGCATCCAGTTTAGTTTGCCTTGCGTTGGCGAGCTAGGCCAAAGCAAGGACGCATGCCTCACCAGTTGCCTGCTGTTGCTTGATGTTGATTTCACTCCATTTGCACATTTGTTCTGTGTATCTTAAATTTGCCCTCCGCACGGGCCCATGCAGAGATGGGCCGGTTTTGGTGTTCTTACACCTTGATTGCTTAGGCTTGGTGCCGCGCAAACAGTTCAATCTAAGGGCTTTTCTCGTGAGCGTGCGATCTCCTTGTAGGCTGAGCTCGTTGCCAGTCTTTCGCACTGAACTCGCAGAGAGGCATTCTCGACGAAATCGACAGAATACGTGCAACTTGGATGCTGGGGCTGCTAGGGGTAGCCGAGCAGAAGGGACGGGCCAAGGCTCAGGTTGCGGTTGTTATGACTGCTCACCCAAACTGTGGTCTCACGCTGTTGTGTTGGCTCCCCACGCAGCAACCAAGACATCCCTGCGAGACAAACAGCTGGGCAGACCACTGCAGCCTCCGGGTTCGAGTTTCGGGTGGAAGGTGATGTTGAACATGTCCGTACCCCTGTGATGTGTCTTTCGGCTATTCCCCCCCCCCTTCTGGGAGCTCAAAGAGTGGACACGGCAACAGATCAAGGCGCAGCACCCCGATGGCTTCCAGAAGCGCGAGCTGTTGCAGCACAAAAAGTCCTTCGCTGCTACTCGGCCCGACGACAGGACTGTGTTGTGATCACCATCACGAACCGCGGCTGGTTCTCTGATGTTCAGCACTACCTGTTGTCTTGTCATTCAGTCATTCATGGTGATCGTCTGGCTTCCGGCCATTGCCGCTGTGATTTCTCGTCGGCGTGGAGTTTTGTTGCCGAGTGGGGGTCGGTATGCTGGCGTTGTGGGGTCCAGGGTGCTAGGGACGACTGCGAGCCCAGGCTAACATGCAGGACGTGGTTGGCTGTGAGCTGGCGGACCTCGCAGATCACGAGGCGGGTAGAGTTGTCGGAGGTTTGGGGCTCTTGCCTGTCAGGTTGAAGGGTTGGAGATGAGAGAGAGAGAGTCGAGGTCTTGTGTCGGCGCAGTTTGAGGTGTTCATCTTTCGGGGTATCAGACGTAGGGTTGACACGAACGCTCACAAGCACTCATGATCCGCCTGCAGGTGCGCAATGTTGTGAAAGCACGATGGAACCGGATTCGCACGGCCATGCGGATGTATGTCGACTGGCCGCAGAAGAATACCATACACATCCATACACCATTATTTCAAAACCATGCTGTCAAGGCAAATACGCATTCCAAAACTCTGAACCCAAACCTAGTCCTAGTTCTGGAGGCTTCCAAATAGGCTGGGAGTGTGGATGAAGGCTTTGGAAGATGTAGGCCGTTGAGGAATCCAAGGCTTAGGGCTTGCTTAGGAGCTAAAGACTTGAATTTTGGATAGCCTCAGGATTTTGTGTTTACGGCCAAGGGTTTGGGACCGGGCACCCCATCGAAGAACTCTTTTAGGCCCTCCTTCCAACCGTATTCTTCTTCTGTTAGCCATTGGAAGACGTTGGCTTTTTGGGTCTTGGGAGGAAGAGCGCGTCCGTTTAAAAGGCCCCGTTTTGGACCTCTCAAGCCAAAAAGCTGCACAGTGCAGGGGGTTCCGGGTTTGGGGTTCCGGGCATTCTCTCAGACTTCGCAAAGATGATGCTGAGGGTTTCACTCTCCGGCGGCTTATGACCACCTGACAGCCATGGGTCCGGATGACTGAACTCAGAGCAAGAAGATCCTCGAAACCTTGTGCCGCCGAACCTTCAACCCCAATGTCCGGAGCCTCACTGAATCTTTCAGACAGCCCAGGCGAAGATGCAAATCAGCATGCGGGATTCCTCCAAGTGAGGCCTGAGCATGCTGGTTTTCATCCATGATAGACTGGACAGGCCCCTCCACCCGATATACCCTAAGCCCAGGACACAATCTCGGAATGCTAGCGCGGACTCACCTGCAAAGTGTCTACGTCTGCGAGGAAAGCTTTGTAGGCTTTGCCGATCAACTGAGGACTACGAACTAGTAGTAACTAGACTCACTAGATGTAGCAGTAAGCTTGCTAGAAACAAGAGCAGCAGCATTATCGCATATGGGGTGGGGTCGCCTACCCTTTCAAGCCACAGTGCTTCAATCCAAGGGACGTTTAGAAGCCACCGCCAGGAAGGCCTGCTCGGATCAGAGACCAGCAAGGGTATAAAATCCCCTTCAGAACTTCAGCGAATTTGCGACTTGGGGCATCCGGAAGCGACTGAAACCTGAAGCCTTAAACCCTGGAGGTGTTTTTGTGCTGTTTTCTCAGTCGGATCCTACGTTGGAAGTGAAAGTTTCAGTGTGCCCTGAACTCGCATCTTCTTGCAGCTCCGAGAGTTCAGACTGGATTCTCCATCAGGCGTGTGCAGCAGGTCGAGCAGCCTTCTTAGACCGGTTCGAGCTACTACCACAACTACTTTCAGCAGCAACAGCCGAAGACTAAAGCCGTAAAGTGGCTGATAGGGGCCTGGCCCTCTGCAAGTGGGCTCACCTGCTGCCACCTGCCCCATAAAGTGGCTCCTTTAGCCCTGAGCCCTGGAGCCCCCGCCGCAACATCACATCAGCAAGGCGTAGCTTCCCAGTGCTGCTTCGAGGGGAAGGGAGGAGTCGAACTTTTAAAGCCCATTTACTGGCAGTTAATGTGGTCTTGGGGGGCCCCAAGGGCCCTCCAGCCGAAGCTTCGCAATCCGCGCGGCGTGCGAAAAGACAATGAGGGCCGGACTCAGGTTCGAGATTTCTTGTTCAACCTTCCGAGTTGCACGAGATCCTCGATCCTGGTGGAAAGCTGAGCCTTCGGGAGTTGCCACATTTAGAGGTTCGGGGCTTTGGCGGTTTGGCTCCATCATGAGCTTGCCGTGTTCAGTTTTCGGGGAGTAGGGATCAATTTCAAGAGTGCTGAGGCCTATACAGCAGGCTCGGCTACGTGGAGTGCTTGACGCCACCATGGCACCTCCCCATCCGCTCTTGGGCACGAGCAAGGGGGGAACCGGACGATTGCGCCAAGTCCCTCCGATCCGTTCTATTGAAGACCATGCGGGCGCGGGCCCGAGCCAATGGATTTCATGATCTAAGGCTCAGGAAAGTTGAAGCCTGATTCCAAGCTTCAAAGCTTCGGGGTGGCTCTTGGGGATTGGACTTGCAGGAATTCCGGGAGTTTAGACTTCCAATGGATCGGGTCGGGGCTCGGGGTTGTAGGCTCCCTGGCCTCTATTGCCTGCAGATCGCACCAGTCCCCGGGCCCCCGGGTGTCTTGCTTGATTTGCGGGGCAGAGTTCTACTCTGAGTAAGACTGGTGCCATGCCTTGTCTGCCAGCATGACGCGGCTCACGAATACTGTGCACAGTGTTACCCGTTGCTTGGTCATTTGGTCCTGTTACGTGCACGCGACGACCGTTGCGGAGGTGCGAACCATGTTGGCCGCCCTGGCCTTCGCACCTTTGGCCATAGCAAGGCCGGGTGCACAGTGGCTGGGTTGCTGCGATGTGCATGCGTCCGCTGGTCTTGGGCTTGGGGTTGGGTTGAGTTTGGTTTTGTTGTTGTTGGTGTTGTCGTTGTTGCTGTTGCTGTTGTTGCTGTTGCTGCTGCTGCTGCCGCCGCTGCTGCTGCTGCTGCTGCTGCTTGTCGTTGTTCTTGTCGTTGTTGTTGTCGCTGTTGTTGTCGATGTTGTCGGTCGTTGGTGGTGGTGGTGCTGGTGCTGGTGCTGGTGATGTGGGGAGTCGGGGCGGGGGTCAGGGTGGGGTGGGGGTGGGGGTGCAGTGTCGTTGTCGGTGGTGGTTGCTGCTGCTGCTGCTGCTGCTGCTGCTGCCGCCGGCGGCGGCGGCGGTGTTCTTGTTCTTCCTGTCTTGTTCTTGTTATTCTTTTTGTGATTGTTCTTGTTGTTGTGGTTGCAGTTGTCGTGTTGGCTGTGGTGTTGGTTGTTGTTCCATCCAGTCGGCTCTTTGCGCACAGATTCTGGCTTCCGGTGTTTGCGAATTTCGTCCACAGGCGCAGCAGTTTGAACTCATTGACCAGGTGCCCTTCCTACTGGTACAAACATAGGATCGTGGCCGCAGGCCTCCTCATCCCATTGCCATTGCCGGAGCACTATAGAAGTCTGCAGCGTTCTGCTGACAGTGCGAATCGTGGCAGGGCCAGCGCACTCGAAAAAAATGTTGCGCGTTTTCAACCGAACGTTTCTGAAAACCAAGCGTCGAATGTGCTGCCAGAGCGGTGATGGTCGTCGCGGGCGTCAAGTTTGGCGCGCGTGAACAGACGACTGGCACCTGGTTGTTGGTCCTTGGTTGGTTGTCGGTGGTCGGTGGTTCTTGGTTGTGGTTGTGGTTGTTGTCGTTGTTGTTGCTTCTGCCGCTGCTGCTGCTGCTGCTGTTGTTGTTTCTGCTGCCGTCGTCGTCGTCGTCGTCGT